AATACCTTATAACATATATAATAAAGGTGTGGCTCTCGTCACGGAACTACAACAACATAGACTGGACCATCTAACAGTTTATACAACTCCAATCTAAGGTACTAACATAATGTGTCATGGACAATCCCCATGCTCACTCAAATAAGGCAACACGCCCAACATCAGTCTCAACAATGACATAATCATAAATAGCAGAAAACATAAACAGCATCCATATCCAGTCATGGCAGCAATACAACATAATATCATCAACTAAGCTCTGGCCTCCTGCCGCCAGAGGCATCAGTCACCAAACTACCGGAACCTGAAATAAGCATTCCCCAAACGTGGGGTGAGATCTCTAAACCAGAAATCTCAGTAAGACAAGGGGTCCTCAAGGATCTTCCACCCCAAGCTCACTTACGTGTGCAATATAAGTTTAAAAGCAGTTCATCAATATCATTTCTAAAACAGTGTAATGCAGCAGATAATCATGTCATGTGTGTCAATACTATTCTACTAGCCAGAGAAATGTAGGATTTACATACGCCAAATACCCACACTAGTGCAAGACACTACTTGCTTTCACCCCGGATCACCATATCGTATGACGCTACATTCTCAGGTTTACCGTCTAGATGAAACAACACATGCATATTAAAAGCCATTACACATAAAGCTCAACAGCATTTCAAATAATCAAAGCATGTAACACAGCATGCATACAACCACACCCCTATGGGACATGGTGGAACCACAACATGGCTAAACCGAGGACACGAAAGCTTACCTTGCAAGCTAACACCCAAGGCCAAGAGTCCACAGCTCAAAGTCCAAACACAGCAGATTCACAATCTGTTATGGATCAATACTATATCAATAATAATGCACCACAAGCATATAACTTAAAGACAACGCCTTTCCTTACGTTTTACGTCTTAAGGCTCCATACCAGGCCATAAGCCCTTAATCATACAATTCTGACTTAGTTCATTAATTACAGAAGTTCAACTTCATCAATCTAGGGTCCACAAACCCCCAATAGCCTACTGTACACACAGCACAGCTACTGTTCTACGAAATCCCAGAATATCCGGATATTCCACGGGGCATATCCGGATATGCAATATCCGGATATCTCACTGACCATATCCGGATATACAATATCCGGATATCCAGATTCCCATATCTGGATATCCAATATCCGGATGTCCAAATCCCATATCCGGATATCACATATCTGGATATTTCTCGGGCAGATATCCGGATATTTCACGACATAATGCAGAAACTGCATTTCGTGAAGATATCCTTCCAAGGTTGGGTTTTTACTGATTTTAAACACCTAAACATGCATTTCTAGGTGTGTTTGACCAACCCCAACATTAAGTTATCATCTTTTAACCTTTACATGCATCAAGGTTCTATTTTTAAGCTCAAAGACTCAAGATCAAAGGTGGTGAAGCTTACCAAGCTCAAACTCAGAAAAAAGGTGCTCTTGGAGCTCACACAACAGCTCCAAGGTTCTGTCTCTCACTGTACACGAAAATAGTGCACAAATGTGGTTCTTTTACACCACAAGGAAGCTCCTTTGAGCTCCAAAATGCCACCACAATGGCTCAACACTCTCAACCCCCAAAGTCAGCAAACAAGGACCCTCCAACAGAGGTAAAAACTCAGAATGATGTTCCCAACACACTCACCATAGTGTTTCCCACTCACTCAAGGTGTCTACAAGAAGAAAGTGTGAAGAAAATGGCTTCAAGCCTCAAGAAAGGAGAAGAGAAGCCTATGGAACAGTGTTTCAAGGATCTGGTCAGCCACTCTCACGCACAAAAACTGAGGTCCTAGGGTTATGTGCCAATCATAAGGCTATATATAGTGGTTTAACAATTAAACACACAATATTAACTTTAATTGTTACGCTTAGCATTTTAATCCCAAACTCTGGATTCTTAACCTACTCAATTTTACAAGAATTATCATATTTTTCTTATAATTTTCTGAGCACCTTTCCGGTACGCGCTTTTCAAAGCCAGTACCGGTTTCTAGCACCAGTTCTCATTATTTGGACTTGAAACTCGTTTTACAAGTCCTACATATCATTATAGTAATTATCATGCACTTATTATAATTTTTAGGGATACTTTTTCGGCACACATTTATACCGACTAGCAGAACCGGTATCTGTACTTTTCTTCCAAAAAGCGACTTTCAGCATTATTACTCACTTACTATAATTATTAAAGCCTCATAATAATTATTAGGGTGAATTATGGAATCATTTCCTATTTTCTCATAATTTATTAATTAAATTCCTTAAAATTAACGGTGCGGGTTCTTACAGTATTGTATGCGCTCAGAGATACCCTAGAGATAGGTATCTTGGTTAGCTTATAGCCAATATCTCAAGCACTGCGCACAAGCAATAGGCTTATAGCCGAGACGTGGGTGTGTGCACAGTGTGGGCAGAAGTAGTAAATGAGTTCAGAAGTGTGTACCTGGGGTCTTTAGCCTCTTATTTATAAGGGTTATCTCTAGAGTTTGTGTAGATCTCCCAGTTGTGGAAGGATTCAACTCCTCTTCTGTTGGGATAGGATCTTTGTCCCAATTGGCTTTATTGTTTTGTACTGTTAAGATAATTGGATAATTATCCTTTGAGGGATCTTTGGGTGGGTAGTTAGGATATTGATATATTCTATAACACTTGGGTTTTACATTCAATAACGGCTTGAACGTCTTGTATGAGTCGAGGATTTGTTTTCCATTAAAAAATTTTATAAATTGGTAAACATGCTTTTAACGTCTGATTACCAACATGATAGTGATCCTTGTCTTGGTAATGTAGGTCTACTAACAATAATGTTTAGATCTTCTCCAAAAGAATATATCTCTAAAGTTTAGAGAATATCATCCAACGATTCCATGTTCAATCCATTTTTTACGAACTAAATTTTACCTTCTCGATTTCTCAAACCCTGTTCCGTATAAAGAATTTAAAAAATATGCTTAACCAACAAATTGATGAGGATTTTTAAATGATTATTATCCAAGTTTTATTAAAAGGTTAGGGTGAGGATAAAATTGTAAGGACAATAATACCATCATTCTTAGGACGACATATTAACTCCCAAGATTTTTCAAATCACTTATTATACTTCTTAATTAGGTGATGACTGTAATATCCTTTATAACTGACTAGGATATGTAGCTTTGGAGTAGGATAAAGCACTATGGCTAAAGACTTTGAAGACTATATGGAGTCCAGTGGAGCAAATTAATAGAAAGAAGGGGAAGGATATTGTAACAACCAAGTTGTGTTACTACCAATCAATCTCCCTGTTAGATCGATTATGTTGATCCAACGGTTATATTTATTTTCATCTTTGTATGTCATGATTTCCCAAATTTAAACGGTTATATTTATTTCCACCTTTGTATGATTATGATTTCCCATATTTAATGCTTTCACTTTAAATATGGGGAATCATAACCATACAAAGATGGAAATAAATATAACCGTTGGATCAACATAATCGATCTAACGGTGAGATTGATTGGTAGTAACATGGTAGTAACACAACTTGGTTGTTACAATATCCTTCCCCTAGAAAGAAAATGTTTCTTTTCAGTTTAGATTATGATGTATTTCTGATGTAATAGTGAACTTGACTTCTGTATAATTAAAGATCAAGAATATTTTGTCATATGCCTTATTCCATATCTGCTGCGTTAGAATTTCACTTAAAAATTAATTTGAGATCCTCTATCCTAGTCAGTTATAGAGGATGTTACGTTTTATGGTATCAGAGCATCGGTTCAGATAAATAAAAACCCTAAACTATTATAGTTGCTTGGTATTTTGTCATAGATCATGCATATTTTGAGTTATTTTAATGAGCCTGATCAACTCACTATCATAAAACAATATATGTAGATCTATGACAGATACAAGGCAGATATCTTCTTCAACTTCTGAACCAGAAGTTAACCCAATAACGAATGCGTTTACCCGAGTGGCAGAAGCTCTTAGAGAACAAATTGTGACGAATCAGTAAATTATTCAGGAGCTGAGGGAGGATCGTGCAACTAGAAATCACACCCATAATTCTGAAAGTGAAAGTGGACCTAGAACTGTAAATACTCAGGGAGGACTTAATTCTGATTATAAATGACTCACTGAATTCCGTAAGCATACACCTTCCACTTTTCGTGGAGATTATAACCCTGAGGCAGCCATGGAATAGGTGAAAGAACTTGAGAAAATATTCCTGGTAATGGACTGTCCTAATACTCATCGTGTAAACATTGCCACATACTTATTGATTGGAGAAGCAGAGAATTGGTGGAAAAATACCAAAAGATATTTCCAAAGCCAAGGAATAGAGATTACTTGGACAATCTTTAAAGATGTCTTTTTGGAAAAGTACTTTCCTCAAAGTGTAAGAAACAGAAAAGAAATAGAATTCCTTGAACTGAAACAAGGAAACATGACCAGAAAGGGGAGAGTCTAAAACATATTCTCCCCACTCCACTGAGATACCTGAGTTCTTCTTTGACCCTAAGCCAGAACGCACTTTACATAGAAGGAGAAGAAATCTCAGGGAATTTTTTTTTAAAACATGGTTGATCATAACAATGATGACATCCTTCCTGAACAGAATTTTAGAACCTTGGCTGCTCTTTTCAGGAATAGACCAGAAAGGGGAGTAGTCCTCTCTCCTGTAGCCCCCAATTTTGAATTGAAACCCATCATGTTCCACATGATAAGGGAAGCTGGAGTCTTTCATGGATTTCCTGCAAAAGATCCTTACACACACCTCACAAACTTTCAAGATATCTGTGATAATTTCAAAGCTGAGGGTGTGACAGAGGAAAGTATGAGAATGAGGTTGTTTCCTCACTCCCTAGTCTCAAAAGCAAAAACATGGATGAAAACTCTCACCCCTAGATCCATACACTCTTGGGAGGAACTTTCTAACAAATTAATAGAAATGTTTCTCCCTATGTCTCGAAAAGCTGATGTTAGGGCAGAACTCTCTAACTTTAGAATGTTTCATGGAGAAAATCTTTATGAAGCTTGGGAGAGATACAAGGACATCATCAGAAAATGTCCAAACCATGGGGTAGAGAGTTGGGGAGTTTTAACATTCTTTCTATAAAGGCATTGACCATACTTCTCAATCACATTTAGACTTTGCTGTAAGGGGATATTTTTTTACAGGTACCCTTGAATCCAGGTATGAAATCATTGAAGGCACTGCAGAAAGATGTCTCCAATGGCCACTGGAACGGATGAGCCCAGTAAGGAAACCAGGCATGCTCGAATTAGACAAACAAACTGCCATGGAGTCCCAACTGGCCACACTGATGAATGAGGTGAAGAACCTGAAAGCTGATCAAGAACAACCAAAGATGGAAGTCTTACAACTCACAGCAACTGAGAGTGAACCATGCTCAGCCTGTGGTGACCTTCATGATTCAACAGACTGTCTATCTATTGCCTTGGTGTGTTATGCAGAAAACTTCGGGAACAAAAACTTCACCCAGGCCAGAGACAATCAGAATGCAGGTAGCAACCACAATCAAAACCCTGGAGGAACCATAGTGAAGGATCAGAACCATAATCCACAATGGAGACCACCCATAAACCAAAGGCCATACACCAATCAGCAGCAGTAGTATCAACAAGGCAGAAGCAGTGGGAACGGAGCCTATGAACCACAGAGAAGAACCATTTATGCTCCATTCCAAAGAGATGACCAACACATCAACACCCTGAAAAGCTATGTCAAAGAATATGTCACCAGGAACGATGTTGTGGTCAGAAACATTGAGTTCCACCTGGGACAGATAACTGCTAGCCTTAACACTAGGACACCAGGACATTTGCCAAGGGATACTGACGTCCCCTCCAAATCTCAACCAGAACAGATCGCAGTCACATTAAGAAGTGAGAAAACCACAACACAAGCTGCAACAGCTCCCAAGAACTCAACCCTAGACACCAGGGGGAACGTGACAAACCACCACAACAGGCAGCTGTCGAGCAAAACCTAGAACTTGAGGAAGAAGTTGAAGTTGAGGAAGATCCAATGGAGAGTAGCAAAACAAGCAGTCTACCACAAACCAAGCAAGTCCCAGTCAAAATTTCGTTCCCCCAAAGAACAAGGAAGCAACAAGATGATAAGCAGTTTGGAAAGTTTATGGAAATTCTAAAACAACTCCACATCAACATACCCCTGGTAGACACGCTGGAACAGATGCCCAAGTATGTCAAATTCATGAAGGACGTTCTCTCCAAAAAGAGAGGAATAACCGAATATGAAACTGTGAAGATGACACAAGAAAGCTGCCAATACTTGGGCAAACTCCCACCTAAGCTACGGGATCCAGGAAGTTTCACCATACCTTGTACAATAGGGAACATGTACCAAAGTAAAGCCTTGTGTGACTTAGGGGCAAGCATCAACCTCATGCTCTCCTCAGTTTTTAAACAATTGGCCATAGGACCAGCAAAACCAACCACTGTAACTTTACAGATGGCAGATAGATCCATTGTCAAACCAGAAGGAAAGGTGGAAGATCTACTATTCAAAGTAGATAAATTTATCTTTCCTGTTTACTTCATCATTTTGGACTATGAAGCAGATATAGACGTTCCCATCATCCTGGGACGACCGTTCCTAGCAACCGGAGGAGCGGTCATCAAAGTGCAAAAATGGGAACTTACCATGCGAGTACATGATGATGAAGTTAAATTCAATGTCATCAAAGCAATGAAATTTCATGATGAGGATGAAGATCTGGAAGAATGTTCTGCAATCACGTTATCAGATAACCAGATCAATATAAACCCAGAAGTCAAAGAAATGGAAGAGGGTTTGCAGAAAGAGGAGTAGAATTACTATCTGCAAGAAAGGAAACATGAACCTCTACAAAGAACTAAAAAGGAAAAACAAGTCAAAAAACCATCTTCAGAACAACCTCCTGACTTGGAACTTAAGCCTCTTCCCCAATACTTGAAGTATGCGTATCTGGGAAGCAATGACACCCTGCCTGTCATCATCTCCTCGCTACTCACCAAGGAACAAGAAGAACTGCTGATTAGCAAGTTGAAGGAATATCAAGGAGCTATTGGATGGACCATAGCCGACCTTAAAGAACACCAAAAAAGATTGAATCCAATCATGAAAGAAGTGGTTAGGAAAGAAGTAATCAAATGGTTAGATGCAAGGATCATATACCCCATCTCAGACAGCAGTTGGGTAAGTCCTATTCAGTGTGTTCCAAAAAAGGGGGGCATAACTGTAGAATTAAATGAGAAAAAAGAACTGATCCTCGTCAGGAAAGTTACGGGATGGAGAATTTGCCAGGACTACAGAAAGCTCAATAATGCTACCAGAAAATACTATTTCCCACTGCCCTTTACAGACCAGATGTTAGACCACCTGGCAGGTAAGGAATACTTTTATTTTCTTGATGGATATTCTGGATATAACCAAATTGCTTTAGCACCAGAGGATCAACACAAAACCACCTTCACTTGCCCCTACGGAACGTTTGCTTTCAGAAGAATGCCTTTTGGATTGTGTAATGCACCAGCAACGTTTTAAAGGTGTATGTTCTCTATTTTTTCTGATTTGATAGGTGAAGGAGTGGAAGTCTTCATGGACGATTTCTCAGTTTTGGGAACGTCGTATGATCACTGTCTGGTCAACTTAGAAGAAGTTCTTCAAAGATGTAACTCTTCTAATCTGGTTCTTAACTAGGAGAGATGTCATTTCATGTTAAAAGAAGGAATTGTCTTAGGACATAGAATCTCCAGGAACGTATTAGAAGTGGACCAAGCCAAAGTAGAAGCCATAGCAAAGATGCAACCTTCGGTAAGTGTTAAAATGCTGAGGTCATTTCTTGGGCATGCAGGTTTTTACAGATGATTCATCAAAGACTTCTCTAAAATAGCTAGACCTCTGTGCCATTTGCTGGAAAAAGATGTGAAGTTTGAATTTAGCCCCGATTGTTTGAAGGCTTTCGAAGTTTGAAAAGTCAATTAGTTACTACGCCTGTTATCCAACCTCCGGACTAGAATTTACCCTTTGAATTAATGTGTGATGCAAGTGACCAAGCTATATGGGTGGTTTTAGGTTAGACGGAGGATAAGCTCTTTTGAAGCATATACTATGCAAGCAAAACTCTGAATGAAGCTCAAGTGAACTACACAGTCACTGAAAAAGAGCTATTAGCTGTAGTATATGCTTGCGAAAAGTTCAGGCCGTACATTCTTGGATCAAAAGTCATTATCCACACTGACCATGCAGCTCTCAGATATCTATTTGCCAAGAAAGAAGCAAAACCACGGTTGATAAGATGGATCTTACTGCTGCAAGAATTCAATCTGGAGATCAAAGAAAGGAGGGGGTGCGAAAATCAAATTGCTGATCACCTGTCCAGATTGGAACACATGGAAGTGGGGCTACCTATCAAGGTGGATGGAGTCCAGGTAAGTATTCTTGATTTTAAAATTAATTCTTCATCACTTACAATTTTTCCCTCAGATGTACAACCACAATTTGTTGAAGACAATGGAGATGGAAAAACAAAGCTCAAGAATCCTCATCTATTAAGAACCAAAAGCAAACCCAAGGTTAAGATAAAGAAATCCAAAAAGATGACTATGACCAAGGGGAAAAGGCCAGCTTTGGTTCTTTGCTACAAGCCACCATGATCACAAGGGGTACGTCAGGCTCGTGACGTTAAACAAGCGCCAATTGGGAGACAACCCAATAGTAAAATTTTCTTATTTAATCATTTTATTTTTATTAGGTTAGATTCGGTTTTAACAAGTTAAGTATTTGGTGAAGTATGGACATATGGAAAAATTTTAAATTTGGGAATTGGCGCTATCAGCTCCAACTTGGCGCTAGTAGCGCCACAAGATTGAAAAGAGACAGTGAGCTCCACGCTCGCAGCGTGAACTCCACGCTGTCAGCGCCAGAAACCCATGGATGACTCGCGCTAACAGCGTGAAATCCAGGCTGACAGCGCCACTGGGTCCAAAAGTTCCAGTGAGATCCGCGCTCACAGCGTGAAATCCACGCTGTCAGCGCCAATGTTCTCACCATTTTCCTTGACTTTAATGTTTTGTTTTTGCTGTTTTTAGATTATGGTTTGATTATGTCTCCCTTTTATACATTTCACTTTATTGATTATTCTGTTTGATGTTTAACAAGTGTGTGAGTGTTCCACTATGCAGAATTAGCTTCACTCGAATAGTGTAGTTTGTCGCTGAGGACATCAACATTCTAAATCTGAGAATTGGACGCATACCGTATGCTATACTTGCTAACTGCGGAACTACACAACAGAGACGTCTAACAGAAAACTTTTCTGTTAAAAAGGGGAGATATTTCAAACCTTCAATTTTTTTTTTACTGTTTTAATTCAATTATTGTTCAATTTTCTTTAATTATGTTTTTTTTTAAGAAAAATTAAAAAAAGAGTAAATACCCTTTTGGGTCCCTAACAAAAAACACGGTCCCCACTTTAGTCCCTTACAAAAAAAATTAGTCAGTTAGTCCCTAACAAATTCAAAGTGGACCCATTTTAGTCTTTTTGAGGGACTAATATGGGTCTTTTGTGAAATTGTGAGGGATTACAATTTCAACTAAATTGGTCCACTTTGAATTTGTTAGGGACCAACTGACTAATTGTTTTTTGTAAGGGACTAAAGTCGGGACCGTGTTTTTTGTTAGGGACCAAAAATGGTATTTACTCTTAAAAAAAATACAAAAATAGTGAATTCCTAAACAAGCGTTCGTAGATTTTACAGAGCTTACTCAGTGATCAAATAGATTGAAAATTAAGAAGCAAGATATCTGTGGAGCATTAAATTGGTTTTATAATCTAAGAATGATGATTGCTCCTTTGTATAACTGTTTTGATGAAAATTCTTAGATAATGCTTGATGTGAGATTTTGAAATAAGATTCTAATTTGAATTATAACTGTGAAGATTGAGCCTAAACAAAAATATTTTTTCAGAGAGGCCTCGCTGTAGTAGTTTTCTAGAACTTGAACTGTTTCTCTGGCTTGCATGCGTTACTGACATGACAAAGGCATGTTTATTCTTGTTAACTTAGAGCCAAATAGCCTACATAAAAGAATTTTCCATTGTTAGCCCTTTTGAGCCTTAGACCAATTTATTCAAAAACCTGATGAAAATTACTTAACCATTTCTCCATTGACACACCTTGAAAGAGATTGAAATGCTGATCAAAGGAAAAAGTCAAGGTACTTCTCAAAAGAAAGGTAAAGTAAGTTGAAAAAGGAAACAGAAAAATGGTCTGCAAAAATGCTGCAAAAATTCTGAAAAAGGAAAAAAGGAAAATTGCAGCTCAAAAGAGAAGAGAAAGAAACATATGCAAACAAGGAAAGAAAAGAAACGGTAGTGGAAAAGGAATAAGAATCCTGAAATGACGAAAAGTGGCATAAATAAAGACTGAGAAGGAAGTATTGTCAAAAATCTCAGTATTTCAGTCTCTCAAATTAATCAGCCTCTGTCCGAAATATTCTTACCCTCAAACCAGGCCAAGTTATAACCTATCAAAGACCTTTTGATCAGTCTATGCATGTCAAATTGGTTCCTCAATCTTAGGAACTTGAGAATATGATCAAGCCTATAGAATTACTACTACACTGAAGGAATGAGTGTGAAACCCATCAAACACTAGAGTGATGAGAATTATATATTTATCTAGTGAGGAACATTCAAGTTATGATTTGAATTTCTTGATAAAGCTGAAAAACATTGTTTGAAGTTTTTAACAGGAAGTTATACATGCATGGCAGTTTGATCTCTTAAGATATTCATGTTCCATGTTTTTCTTCACAGAATTAATCTTTGCTTCTAACTTTGATCTACTACATTGCTGAGGACAACAAAGTTCAAATCTGGGAATTGTTTGATATGCCTCCAACATATATATGATTTTAAGCTAAAAAGAAAAAGAATCTTGATCAATCTTGGATAAAAAGGGCTATAATTGTTATTAAATTGATAAATCTCAATCAGATATCTTGTCACTGACTTTATTATATTTTTTTATAGGAAAATCTTCAACTTATCTCAGAATTGTATCAGAAAGACTGGACCAAGATATATGATGAAGATTTGATCAAGATATATGATGAAGATTTGATCAAGATTTCTAAGCAAGGCATAAACTCTATAAATAGAGACTCACAGTCCAAGGAAAACAATCTTTGGCTGGAGAGAATTCTTGGAGGCTCACGCTGGAGATCAGGATTCCGGAGAACTTGAAGATTGAAGACTATTCTTCTTTATCTTCATCTTTTTCTTTTCTTTCTTTGTTATGAATTCTTTTTATTTTAATTTGTTTAAGCCAACTATGTCTGGCTAATTTGTTTTTGTAGTTGGGATCACGAACCGAATGTGAATCCTTTATATTTTCTGTATTGATATTTTATAAGTTAATTAGTTAGCTTGTTTTAATCTACCTGGTTTAATTTTTCATATCCTGTTTAGAACTGATCACTTTAAATTATAGGGCTTTGAGGGTTAGAATTCACAATAGACATATTGGGATTTTAATCTGGACAAGGGTAGAATAACAATTTGTGTATGATCTAGACATAGGCTTACATAAAATTGCAGACTCATAATTCAATTGCTTAATGCTTAATTCAAAAGGGATTACTAAGACATTAGAATTCTGATTGGGTTAAAGGGTCGAAATCACTAAGACATTAGGGTTAAACTATTTTATAGAGAAATATTAAATTGTCTGAACAAACGAATTAATTGATTATAAAATATAATATAGGAATATAAGGGAGGATCAGAGGTGAAGTGCATCCTGGCTACATACTTTTTATAAATTTTTCATCAATACCTTCTCGCGTTCTTGATCTTTTCTTGCATGCATTTTAAATTTAATTATTTTAAAATTCTGTTTTAAAATTCTAAATTCAATTATCTTCTCAACTCAAACAAATTTTATTTTTCAACTTAAGGGGAATAGTTAAACTAGTACTTGGTGCATTAGTCCTCGTGAGAACGATCCTCTACTTATCACTTTATTACTTGAAACGAACGGTATACTTGCCGATTTCGCAACACTTACCCACTAATGATGCCAAGGTGGTTATAAAATTCTTAAAGGAAAACATCTTGACAAGATATGGGACCCCCGCTGTATCATCAGTGATGGTGGGAAACATTTCATTAATCGCCAGTTTGAGAGACTGTTGGAGAAATATGGGGTCAAACACAAAGTGGCAACCCCATATCATCCGCAGACTAGTGGACTTATTGAAGTCTCTAACCGTGAGGTTAAGAGAATTCTAGAGAAGGTTGTTAATCTTTCTCGGAAAGACTGGTCTCTCAAATTAGATGAGGCATTGTGGGCTTACAGAACAGCCTACCGAACACCTTTAGGATGTTCCCCTTACAGATTGATATTTGGCAAAGCATGCCACCTCCCTCTAGAGTTAGAACACAAAGCATATTGGGCGGTTTATGCGCTCAACATGGATGAAAAAGCAGCAGGAGAGAAGAGAATACTACAGCTTGAGGAACTGAAAGAATTCAGAGGAAACACGTATGAAAATCACAAGCTGTACAAAGAAAAGATGAAAAAATGGCAGAGAGCTCAAGGTTGGTCAGCAAGTGTTACTATTCAACTCCAGGCTCTGATTGTTCCCAGGAAAGCTCAAATCAAGATGGATTGGGCCATATCAAATCGTAAAAGACGCAGGAAATGGACCTTTCGAAATTCAAGGAACGGAACATGGCTGCTCTTTTAAAGTTAATGGACACAGGTTGAAGCTATATTCTGATGAAACATTCAATGAAAAAGAGGAAGTATCCCTCTTTCTGACTCCAGCTGAAAAGTAAGTAACATGTCTAGCTAAGGACATTAAACTAAGCGCTGACTAGGAGGCAACCCAGTAGACACATTTGCTCCTGAACAAAGAGCAAAGTTTTGGGGTGGTTAAACTTCACCACACAGCTCCCAGAAATGGAGAGAGCATCTAATGTTCAAACACAAAGTCCAAACAAGTAAAATACGTTCCGTTCCAAGAACGTAGTTTTGGGGTGGTCTAAAAACCACATATGTTTATTTCTTTATGTTATTTCCTTTTATTTCCCTTTCTGTTCCCTAGTGTAAATTTTAATGCCTTTCTTTTTGAAATAGAAAAATCTTTTTTATCAAACTATTTGGAGTATGCATCTCATTTATAGTACTATGGCTGTGAAACTCTGAATAACCAATGACATGAAACACAAAGTCAATAAGTAACCATTCTTGTTCTTACTCTGAATGCTTGACATAGGAAAGGTGAAATGAATTTAATCTTCAGATTTTTGAAGAAGGCTGATCTGTGTGAACTAAAACTGGTGAGGAACGAAAAATGCCAAACACTTACTCATGAAAGCGTTCCTGAGGTGTCACCACAATGAAACTTCTAAACTTGCCTTGATACTGTAAGTACTGCTGAAGGACAGGTGAATTTCACCAATAAGGATCGAACCACCAAACACTAACCCCCTCACAATCATCCAAACACTTTCGTTCCCATTCACACCATAGCTTTACCTCACACATTTACACTCATTCCCATGTCAACAAAAGGAGAGAGGAACAAATCCGAAATGAGCTCAAAGGACAAAAAGAAAGAAAACAAAGAAAAATGGGGACAACCATTCAAAAGAATTCAGAAGAAAATACCAGAAAAGCTTCCTCCAAAGAAAGGAAAGAAAGTACAAAAGACAAGGTGTCCCCTCAAACAGAAAAGTCCAGCTCTGAAAATAGAAAAACTGAAACACGTTCCTTGACTCAAAACTTGTGACCATCCCATTTTTAAAACCCTTCCATCAGTCCTTTTGACAAAGATCCTTGACATGGAAGACACCTGCACTTCTTAGGAAAGCAGCAGATAAGCAAGTTTGAAGAATCACATCCAGGAATGGACAGAGAAACACTAACCCTGAGTGATAGTGAGGCAGAAGATCAGCAGTCATCACTTACCTGGGAGCAAATTCTTTCTACTCATTACCTGTGAAAAGTAGTTCGATCTTTGATAAAGTTTATGATTACTTGCTGGCTCAAGTTTCTAAAGTTGAGCTATTCTTTGAAATTGAGCAGCCTAAGCCACTATTTCTGAGTTGGTTGAGGACAACCAATAGTTTAGTTTTGGGGTGTTTGATGGGACGGAAATACGTGCCCATCTAAGCCCATCTTGATGGCAAAATACCATTCGTTCCCTCACCTGATGAGCAACTTTAGCACTAAAAACACATTTTATATCTTTATCACAAAAACACAGGTGGGAACGGAAGGTGACGTAATCTTTGGAAAATATATAAAAAGGGGAACAAATTTGGAACATTTATTACACCTGCTTCACTCACTCAATCTTTCTGGCCACTTTTCAGGAAACGTTGAAAAGAAGTTTTCAATTAAGCACAAGTGGGCAACACTCAACCAAGGAGAAAGGTGCACAGTAAGGAATAAACGGTTCCTATTGGAAGAAAAAGAAAGCAAGGCATGGGAGGTTAATAAGGAAAGACAAATCTCAGCAAAAACTATCTCATCCAACCACGTGCGCCCCACAAAGCACTATTCACACCGCCCCTTTCATGCAGTCAAGAAACCGACTCCGAAGAATTTACAAGCTTGCCATTCACTCTTCTATCTATAAATAGGACGTTCCAGCACGAAGACATCCATCGAATTCCTAAGGGATTGAATTCCTTAAGAAGAGATCACTTAGTTTATTTTCGTATTTTTTATTTGTACAGTTTTAACTTTGGTTAAGTGACAACACTTCTTCTTCTTTCTATATCACCCACTTGAGACTCCTCACGAGCAACAACCATCTTCTCCACTTTTCATTTTGTTGTAATCAATTTATTTTCATTTAAATACAAGTGTTATTTCTCTTTTCCACTCGTTATCTCTAAACTGAATCTCGGGTCTATGGGACTTCAGTTTGGAATAATTATGTTTAAACTAGTAGCCCATGGGCTAAACTATCTGTGGAACGAAAAAACTGCAAAGTTCTTAAAAAGTTATTTTCGAAGCTCTTGTATTACAACTTTTGTGTTTCTCTGGTTAAGTGTGCTATCTTCTTTGTGTATCTTTGGAAATCGAACACATACTGAGAAAGGATCTTCCATAAGGAAGGGATTTCAGACAGCTTAACCAGAGGGGGAAGGCAGTACTGTGGAAACAATATTGCTGGTTGCCTTAGGAATAAGGGGCCACTTCGTTCATTTTAAGGTTCTGCGCTAAGTACCTGTTGGAGTCAAGGGAGCCATAGGAATATGGAAACTTGTGAGCCATCTAGTCCATAAGTTGAGGAATTAGACGTTGGCAGAAAGGAAACTGGAACAAATACTTAAGTGTTGAGTCCTGAGTAGAGAAAATAATTATTTAAGAATGGAGCAGTGGATCCGTTCCTTCTGTTATTATTGTTTTTAAACCATCCACCCTATTCTCTCTTGATTATTGTTATTACTTTTTGTATTTTTCTTTATTTAATCTTGTATCTATAAACCTCTCGTGAATATTGTTGTTCCTTCCCTAAACAAGAAGGTTGCCATACATAACAAAGCGATGAACTGTTTGCTGTTTGATTGAACCTACTGTCCTTGAGGAACGTTGTCAAGACAGTAGGGAACGTTTGACCAAACAGGTCAATTAGTAACTTTTCTTTTCATTTTCATTCATTATAAAGCAGTATAAGACATTAATTAGAGTTCTATCCTCGTGGGAACGATAATCTGGGCATAATACTCTCATTTATTACTTGATGCGTGCACTTGCGCACTTGGGTTGAACTAAGAAAACACTTGTGTTCTTTCTTAGTAAACTGAGGAACGTTTTCACCATACTATATTTTCATCCAACAGCCTCTGAGCACCCAACAGGATGCAAGAGAGAAAGACAGAGCCTCAAATCGGAGAAGAAATGATGACAACAACAAAGGAAGGTTTTCACGGGCGTAAAACTCGAGAAATAATTTTGCTAGCAATGGAGGGAAGAAGAATGCATGTCAGATGAATTTTCAGATTCAGGTATGTCCAAAATGCAAGAAAAATCATGCTGGAGAATGCTTGGCAGGAAGAGGTGTGTGCTTTAAGTGTGGGAAGCCTGGACATATGTTGAGGAATTGTCCTCAAAATTAAGGTTAGAATTCATCAAACCAACCTACAACAATAGGAATAGTTTTCACCCTAAGTGGTCAGGAAGCGGCTTAAGCTCCAAACTTGGTTCAATGTACGGGCTTAATACAAGATTCTCTTACAACTGTACTTTTTGATTCTGGGGCTACTCATTTTTTCATATCCTTATCTTCTGCTCAAAAGTTAAAATTACCAATTTTCATTTTACCTTCTTATCTTGAAATCTTTCTTCCTACTGGAGAAAAGATAATCACATCTCAAGTATGTAGAAATTGTCATTTTCAACTCGAAGGAAAATTGTTTGAGGTAGATTTAGTTTGTTTGCCTATGGTTGATATAGATGTGATTCTTACTACCATCACCATCACCATCACCGTCATCGTCACCAACCACCACCACCATCATCACAGCCACCGCCACACCACCACTCCACTACAATCGCCACCACTGCTGCCACCGCCACCATCACCACCACCGTCCCAAACCACCACTACCATCGCTGAAGCCACTACCGTCACCACCACCACCACTGCCATCGTCGCAGCCACTGCCATTACCGCCACCACCACCACCACCACCATCACCACCACTGCCATCACCATCATCACCACTACCGTTACCACCATCGCAGCCACTGCCATTACCGCCACCACTACCACCACCACCATCACCACCACTGCCATCATCACCATGCCACCATCATCTCAGCCATTGCCGTCACCACCACTACCACCATCATCAATACCACCGTCGCAGCCACTGCCATTTCCACCATCACCACCACTGCTGCAGCCATTGCCATCACCACCACCACCATTGCCGCCACTACTACGCCACCACTACCACTATCACCACCATGGTTACCGCCGCCGCCACCACCACCATCGCAGCCACTGCCGTCACCACCACCTCCATTACCATCACCACGCCACCACCAACATTACCACCACCAAGCAACCACCACCTTATATAAAGGAAAGTGATGATCCGAATTTTTTTATGGTTAATAAGAATTATTTTTTATTATATTATTTTGATGTGTTATCAAATGCAATTCTCATTCTCGGAATAAAAAAAGAACATGTTATCAAACATATTTTTTTTTTCTTAAAAACTGTTTCAAAACACAGAAATAGAAAAGAATTGTTTCTTTTCAGAAACAGTGCTAGAGAATAGAATGGTTGTCATGCACACCCTTATTGTGGTACAACAAACAAATTTTAGGCTTTTCAAAAAACTAAAAACCGATCCAATCCAAATCGAAAAAAATGGATCAGATTTGAAAAAAATTTAAATCGAAGGAATTGGATCGGATGATTTTTAATTTTAAAATCGATTCAATCCAGATTGTGAACCCTGAATCTTTTTTTTTTTTTAGGTTACAAGGAATTGAACACAACACCCTACACTACACACACTCCTAACACACACACCCCACACCACTAGGCTAACCCTAGTGGTGCGAACCCTGAATCTTTTCACCTTGATTACTCAATTAATTCGAGCAACTTTATTTTTATTTATCCAATGATTTGATTGGAATTAGAACTGATAACACGTCAAATCTTTCCCCATGAAAAAACTAAAACTCACAAGTTTAAGGGAAAAATGTTTATCTTTTTAAATGACACAACTTATATCCTTTCACTTTCACAAAGGGGTGAGACCCATATTTTTTTTGTCAACATTCTCTCATCCTTTATCTATCTCTTTCTCTCTTAAAATCACATAATTTTCCTTTGCTCCTTTCCTTTAAGTTTAAAAGCTTTGAATTTCGCCAAAAGACTTTCTTTCCCCTCTTCTAATGCTTAAAGCATAAACCCCTAACACGTTAAACCCTTTTACTCCCACATCCGCCGGCCAGGGATCAAAATTCTCTGAACAGAAGAACCAACGAACCAAATCGAACTGCTTCAAATTAGATGGAAGAAGAACACACTGAGCCATTCAAGGATGGCTCTGACCTATGTCAGCAGCTCATGGACCGTTACGCCAACTCCGCCGCCCCGCATCACCGCCACCTCCTCGCCACCGCCGCCGCCCTGCGTTCCAACCTTGCCGCCGAGTCCTTACCACTCACGCCACCGGCGTATTTCGCCGCCGCCATATCCGCCCTAGAGGACGCTGCATCCGAGGCTCTTGACCCCGTGGCCCTCTCTGCGCTCGTGTCCTTCATGGTCATCGACCTTCCCCTGGTGCCGCCCGGTGGCATCGCGGCAGCGAAGTCGGGTGAGGCGACGGAAATCTTCATTGCCTTGCTGGCAAGGGAGGGGGAAGGGATGGGCGTCTCGAGCGTGAGGGCAGCAGTGAAGTGCTTGGGGGTTTTGATTGGGTTTTGTGACTTGGAAGATTGGGATTCCATCAAATTAGGTTTTGAAACATTGCTCAAGTTTTCTATTGATAAGCGCCCAAAGGTAACAATCTATGCTCTCTTTTTGTGTTTAATTTATATTCAATCATGCATAGATTAGTGCATATATGCTTTATTTGATGGTAGTTTTACCTTGCATTCGGCATTTGGTTTGTATTATTTCCAAATTTGCCACCTTTTTCATCACTGAGTTTGTGGAAAATTTACTATATTATTTTTTATCAAGTTGTGCTTGGTTTATTTGTTTGATTTAGGTACGAAGAATTGCTCAAGAGTCTCTTGGGAAGGTTTTTGGGTCTCTCAAATCCTCTACGGTTATCAAGGAAGCTAGCAAGTTGGTTTTGTCAGAGCTGAAATGTTGCATTGCTGTGGCGACCAAATTAACTGCTTTGAGGACTGTTGATGAATGTAAAGATGAAACAATTACTAAACATGAACAACTGGAGGTCCTGCATGCACTAAACTTAGTTAATCTGACTGCTCCTTATCTTTCTGCAAAAGTCATTCCGAAAGTTCTTACGGAAGTGCATAAATTATTCAGTTCTCAGTTCTCAGCACTTACAAGGCATGTTCTAAAAACTATTAAAGCTATTTCTGAAGCTTCAAGAGTGCGAAATATAGCACTGGAGACAGAGGACTTGGTAGTTTCTCTTGCTTCATTTGTATCTTTAAGAGATAAGAACCCCTTGGATACTGTCATTTTTGCAGCAACCTTATTGAGACTTACAATGGACTTACTTTATATTGGACAATCAAGCTTGTGGATCAAGAATCTTCCTTTAGTTTGTAGATCTGTGATTGGTATGTATGGTTCTTCCATGTTGTAAAAATAATTTAATTGTAATGAATCTTTTCTAGTTATTTCAATCCAATTCTTATTACACCTGTTTATGCTTAGCACGGTCTATCTTCTGAATTTTGAATTAGAAAAAAAATATATTTTATTAAGTTGCAAATTGACCATATCTTTACATCATTAGTTAAATCAGAAATAAAAATCTATTGATAATTCCACTATGAAACATTTTTAATGTTGCCTGGATGCAATAGTTGCTGGTTTTTCCCCATGGATTTCTGCTGCGAAAATAAAAGTACTGAAGATTGGGTACATCTTTTACTAAATTAGTAAAAAGTAATAGAACCAACTTTTCCTATTTTACCAACCCTTTTATGGTTATTGACACCTACGTCCCACCTTTCCCTATTTTTAGTGAGGGAGTAAATACTCCCGTACTACCAAAGATATGCTCTTCTGATGCAGATTTTTCTGTCAAGTTGTGTCATTTCTATAGTGTTGCCAAATATTCTTTATTTACTTTTAGATATACTGCTGTTTTTTTACCTGTATTCTCCTTTTCCTATATTATCTTCTGATTCAAGCTGCCAATGTTGAACTTAGGTCTTCTAAATTTTGAGGGAAACACTGCATCAAAGGCTTCAAGTATTTTGAGTGATGTGCTCAAGCATCATGTTGGTCCTCAAAGTTTATTAATTGGTACAGATCAAACATTTCATGACAGTAGTCAGGAAAGTGCGGAAGGCAATGCAATAAAATCGACGTGTGAAGTTTTTGAGAATGCCCTTTCTGATACTGATGGAATTCCAAATGAGAATGTTTTGTCAGTCATATCTGTTTTATTTCTTGAACTTGGTAGGGATATGTTTCTCGTTATATTAGCTTACTGAATAGGAAAATTGTTCTCTCCATTTTCTTTTATTGTATCAAATTGGTCTTACTTGTGGATTGTGAGACACAATGACATATTGTTAAGCAAGTTACTTTTTCGGCATTGCAAGATTTTACATTTTATTATCTTTTATCACCAGAATTATTGTCCACATGAATTTTGTGTTATATTCTTTGGTTTAGCATGTCACCCTTTGATCTTCCGTGTCTTATTTCTTGCTATGGTTAATGTTTATAATCAGATGAGATGCTATATCTTACATGCCAGGTTCTTGTCTCTTCCACTGCACAAGGGTGGTGTGTTTTAGAGCTTGCCCAGTTTATTTAGTGAACTTAAAATTGGGGTTACATGTTAGGAGAGAAAGATGATTGTGGTATAGAAAAGAGTAGCAAAATATTGGGAAGTGTATAACTACATGTTCATTATCTTGGAAATTACCCTTGGGTAATCTAGCTATTACAGAACACCATAAGCCAGTTAAATTTTACCTATTCACTTATAACATCTATTTCTCCTTATTTGATTCTGTTTGAAACCTCCTATGACTAAGGTATATCATAGGAGGAGGCATAGGGGACCACACCCCTAAATTAACCCATGCTGTGTGACTTGGGTTTTGGAGGGAAAAGCTGTTACAACAGCTTTCTATATCCATTCAATTGTGCTAAGGGATTGAAGTGCTTGATTGTGTTGACGTTTCTGTCTGCTTTCTCTGTGGTTTTTTCTTTGTTACTTTGTGAGGAGATAATGTCTTATCCTCTGCTATTGCACTTCTTTCTTCATCAATAATGTAATTTCTTCTTCTTCTTCTTCTTTTTAAAAATTAAAAATAAAAATAGCAATAAAGCTTTATTATAAAGCTACATTTTGTCCATATCTTCTTATTCTCTTGTAATCTGTTTTGGTTGTAGGAGAATTCTCATTTGTGTTTATGAGGAATATTGTGCTTAAACTTGCTGATTTTATGAATCGAATTTCTGGAGGCAAGGCTAATAATGAGCATGTAAGTACTGGTGAAAGTTTCTTTGTCTGTTTACACATTGTTCGTAATTTTTTGTTAGATTGATCTCAATACCTTAACCATGTCTTCTTTTGATTGATCTTGTGTTGTTTCTCACTTATTTTAAAATTTCTGGAAGCAGTTCAATTTATGGAATCAATATATTGAATTTTCTCTTTGTAGAGATAAGGAACATTTAAGTCATAAACAATTAGCTAGAGTTTTAGTATTGCTAATCTAATCTTTGGCTGGCTGAATTGTTGGATAAGGTTGGGATATTAGGTGAAGCAAAAGAATATATCTGTGTATGTAATATGTATTTGCTCTTAGGATCAGAATTGTAAAATTATTGTCCTTGTATACCTCATCTACTGTAATACTTTATGAGGATAAATTTTTTAATGTTTACTAGATTAATTTGTCTTTAGATATATTAAATGCTTTTTCTTGCTGACATAGCTAACGTCTAATATATATTAAAAATGCTACTTTTTTTATCTCAAGGAAGTACTACTTATTATTCACACACGCACACACGCACACACTATTTTTACATATATTAACATGTAATAAATTAGTTTATCATAAATATAACCTTTACACTTTTTAATTATTTAATTTAAAAAAATAATGAAAAATATTTCATACAGCATGCAAATATTTCATAATATTTGAGATGTTTCGTAAATCCATGTCTTAATTTAATTTGTTTATGATTAACCTTTTATTTATACTATACTAGAATAAAATTATAGCCTATAGGCATATTAAAAGCCCCAGTTCATCCACAGTTCAACCCTGGTTGAACCTCTAACCCTTTGCTGGTTTAATTACCAGTTCAGTTAGTAGACTATTATTATTGTTATTTCCTTTCTGATACAATTTAAACTCAAGCTACTCTACTGAACACCTGGTTCATCTGCCTTTTAATTTATGCAGTTTAGGAATTGCATTGGGTCTGCTGTTCTTGCTATGGGACCAGAGAGATTTCTTACACTTGTACCTATATCTCTTAATGAACACAATTATACTTATTCAAATATTTGGTTAGTACCGATCTTGAAGCACTATGTTACTGGAGCATCACTTGCTTACTACATAGAACATATCATGCCTCTTGCAAAGTCCTTTAAGAAGGCTAGTCATAAAGGTATATTTCCAACATCTGAATTTTTTAAAGTAAATGGAAATTTTTAAAATAGAAAATTGGCTTTATAGAATTGGTGTGGTTTCTTTAAAAAGAAAATGAAAAAAGAAAAAGTATTGGCAATACTTGACAGTATTATAGTCATGAATAGTATTTGGTTGCAATTTGGTTGGGAAGTTTCTTCAACTGAAAGTACTTATGTTCCCCTTGTTAGTTAAGAAACTGGTAGCATTGTACCAATAATTTTTTTTTTTAGTAGCAAGAAACTGCTGGACGCCTATGTTAGAATATTAGATATGATATGATTAGATTTGATTAGATATGATTGGATTCTGTCTTATCCGTAAATAGTCTGACTGTATTCTGATTGTATTAGGATTAGGTTTGGATTAGGTTTGGGCCTTACACTTAAGCCCATTAGGGTCTCTATATATTGTAACTCCTTGACACAGATCAATACACAACGTATTCTTTTACATTTAACTTGGTATCAGAGCTCTTTCGTTCTAGGAACCCTCGCTTCCGCTCAGAAACCTTGTTTTTTGCTTTAAAAAACCTAAGTCCACTGCTTAGGAGTCCTCTTTCTTGCCGTGCGTCCTTCCGGCAAGCCTTCTAGGGCTGTAAACAGCCTTTGAGTGATTTTTCCAAACGCGTCAGCACCTCCGACGGCCACCGGAACCACCGCCCGCCGTCAGAATCACTGTTCAGGCAACCAGAGACTTTTTCCGGCGACTTTTCCGACCAAACTGCACGCGATCAGGACCCTTTCTTCCCGGCGACCAGGTCTGTGGTGGTCCGGTCAGCAACGCATCTCCCACGCGCCGTCACGCGCCACCTGTCTTCACTGCGCGTGGGCTTCACGCGCCACCTTCTGCCGGCGCGTGAGCACTATTCCGGCGGCTTTTTCCGGCCGGTCTTGGACAGAGAAGCTCGCCTTCTCCTCCCCTTTCTGGATCTGTGATTGTTTCTCTGTGGGTCTGACCTTAGACGCGTGGTTCTTCTTGATTGGATATCGTTTGCCTTCGTTTACGGCTTTTATATTTTATCTTTAAATGGCAGCAACATCTCCTGATCTCTCGGAGGTTAACTCTCCTTCTATTGTTGCAAATATAGCTCAGTCAGACAAAGCATCATTTGGTTCAGGTTCGGACTGTGCTGCACTCCGAACCCCTCTCAGGCAGGCTTCTCCTCAGTCTCAGCCTTATACTGGTAATCCCGTTGCTTGTGTTTCTCATTCTACATCACTTGGCACTTGGATATTTGACTCCGGTGCTACCGATCATCTCTGTGGTAATAAGGAACTCTTTACATCTCTTACTTATTCTGATCATTTACCGTCTTTTACCCTTGCGGATGGAACCAAAGCCCCAGTTTGTGGGATTGGACAAGCTCGTCCGACCTCTACCTTGGCCCTGACATCTGTCTATTACATTCCTGGCATCCCTTATAACTTAATTTCTATTAGTAAGTTGATCCACTCCCTCACTTGCACCATTACTTTCTCTAACCATTCTGTTTCTGTGCAGGATCCGGGTACGGGGAAAATGATTGGAGTGGGTCGTGAGTCACGGGGGCTTTATTATCTGGATGTGCCTCGTCCTTCAGTAGCATGCTCTCTCACAGAATCTCCACAACTTATCCACAGTCGCCTTGGTCATCCAAGTCTTTCAAAGTTGCAGAAAATGGTTCCTCTTTTGTCCGGTCTTCAGTCTTTAGATTGTGTGTCATGTCAACAAGGGAAGCATACACGCTCCTCTTTTGCCAGTCGAGTCAATAAACGAGCTGATGCCCCTTTCTCTCTTGTTCATTCAGATATCTGGGGTCCAAGTCGTACCTTGTCTGTCTTAGGTTTTCGGTATTTCGTTACCTTTATTGATGATTTTTCCCGTTGCACTTGGACCTATTTAATGAAAAATCGTTCTGAGTTATTTTCCATTTATAAAAAGTTTTCTACTGAGATCCATACTCAATTTGGTGTTTCTATTCGTATTCTACGTAGTGATAATGCTAAGGAATATGTTTCTATTGATTTTTCTAATTTCTTGGCCACACAAGGTACTTTACATCAAACTACTTGTCCTCACACTCCACAACAAAATGGGGTGGCTGAACGTAAAAACAGACATCTCATTGAAACTGCCCGTACCCTTCTTATTCATATGCAGGTTCCTCTTCACTTCTGGGCAGATGCTGTACTCATCTCTTGTTTTCTCATCAATCGCATGCCTTCATCTGTGCTCCACAATGACATTCCTCATAATCTATTGCTTCCAGATGTTCCTCTTTATCCTCTAACTCCACATGTCTTTGGTTGTACTTGTTTTGTTCATGATCTCACTCCTGGTAAGGATAAGTTAACATCCAAAGCCTTTCAGTGTATCTTTCTTGGTTATTCTCGTCTTCAAAAGGGTTATCGTTGTTATTCTCCCGACCTTAAGCGTTACTTAGTTTCCGCTGATGTCACTTTTCTTGATCAACAACCCTTTAATTCTATCCCATCTCAGATGTCACAGGTTGATCATGTACTTCCTGTCCCTTTTCTTGACTTGTCTTTGCCAGCTGCAGGTGCTTCTATTCCAGATGAGCAACCTATTGCTTCTATACCTGAGGACCGTCCACTTCTCACCTATCAGCGTCGCAAAACTGTGCCTCCTGTCGACTAGACTCTTGCTGACTCATCGCCCACTGCTGTTGCTTCTTCCCCTCCGGATCCTTCATCAGAGACTCTTCCCATTGCTCAAAGAAAAGGTACACGTACTACTCGTAACCCTTATCCTCTTTATACCTTTTTGAGTTATGACCGTCTTTCTTCACCTCATTTCACCTTTGTTTCTAGTCTTTCTTCTATTTCTATTCCTAAGACCACAGGTGAAGCACTTTCCCATCCAGGGTGGCGCCAAGCAATGCTTGATGAGATGACTGCACTTCATTCCAATGGCACTTGGGACCTTGTTTCTGCTCCTCCAGAGAAGTCAATAGTTGGTTGTCGCTGGGTTTTTACTGTGAAAGTTGGACCTGATGGCCATATTGATCGTCTCAAGGCACGTTTAGTTGCCAAGGGTTTTACTCAAATCTTTGGCCTTGATTATAGCGATACATTTTCTCCGGTCGCTAAGATGGCGTCAGTCCGCCTCTTTCTTGCCCTTGCTGCTGTTCGTCACTGGCCACTCCTTCAACTTGACATCAAAAATGCCTTTCTTCATGGTGATTTACAAGAAGAAGTTTACATGGAGCAACCACTTGGTTTTGTTGCTCAGGGGAAGTCTGGAAAGGTGTGTCGTCTTCGGAAATCCTTATATGGTCTCAAGCAGTCTCCTCGAGCATGGTTCAGTCGTTTCAGTTCTGCTGTTCAGGCGTTTGGCTTAATCCGCAGTAAAGTTGACCATTCTGTGTTTTATAGGATTACATCTCCTGATAAGTGTATCTATTTGTTAGTCTATGTTGACGACATCATTCTCACCGGAAGTGATCAAGACGGAATTCGTCAGTTAAAACAGCATTTGTTTAGTACATTTCAAACAAAGGGCCTTGGGAAGCTGCGTTACTTCTTGGGAATTGAGGTGGCGCAATCAAGACAGGGCATTTCTATCTGTCAAAGGAAATATGCCTTGGATATCCTAGAAGAAACTGGTATGTTGGGGAGTAAACCAGTTGATACACCTATGGATCCTAATGTCAAGTTATTACTCGGACAGGGGGAGCCGTTATCTGATCCTGGACGTTATCGGAGGCTAATTGGGAAGCTCAATTATCTTACTGTGACTAGGCCAGATATTTCTTTCGCTGTCAGTACGGCCAGTCAGTTCCTTGATTCCCCTTGTGATTCACATTGGGATGCTGCTGTGAGGATCCTCCGATACATCAAAGGAGCACCAGGAAAAGGTTTGTTGTATTCAGATCAGGGAAATACAGAAATTTGTGGTTACTCAGATGCCGATTGGGCAGGATCACCCTCGGACAGACGCTCTACTTCTGGTTATTGTGTCTTCTTCGGAGGAAACTTAATCTCATGAAAAAGCAAGAAACAACCTGTTGTTTCCCGATCTAGTGCAGAAGCTGAGTATCGTGCAATGGCAAATACTACCTGTGAGTTGATCTGGTTAAAGCAGTTGATTCACAGGAGCTTCATCTTTGTGAACAGAAACAACCCATGACACTCATTTGTGATAATCAAGCTGCGCTACATATATCCTCTAATCCTGTTTTTCATGAGAGGACCAAACATAGAGATTGATTGTCACTTCATTCGGGAAAAGATTCAGTCAGGAGAAATCAAGACAGCTTTTGTCAACTCGTCTAATCAACTAGCAGATGTTTTCACTAAAGCTCTTAGAGGTCCTCGGGTTGAATACATTTGTAACAAGCTTGGTGCTCATAATATATACGCACCAGCTTGAGAGGGAGTGTTAGAATATTAGATATGATATGATTAGATTTGATTAGATATGATTGGATTCTGTCTTATCCGTAAATAGTCTGACTGTATTAGGATTAGGTTTGGATTAGGTTTGGGCCTTACACTTAAGCCCATTAGGGTCTCTATATATTGTAACTCCTTGACACAGATCAATACACAACGTATTCTTTTACATTTAACTGCCTACAAGTACTCAATCTTTGTGAAAGGCGTAAAGTGTTAACATTATGGTCATAGTGATGCCATCATATTAATTTTAGTACATTTTGAGCACAGTTGTTCACATAAATAAATCATCTGGTAGAGATCATATTGTGTTCTCATGTCAAATGCATTAGTTTGATCTTATACTTATGGTTTTCAATTGTGTGAAGGCCTTCAAACGTTTACCCATTGGTTGGTTTTAATTCAACTACAACTGGTATTTGCAGTATTCATTTTGCAGTTAGCAATCTTGATTTTTTTAAATTAATTTGTCACGTAGTTCTTTTCTTTTTTTGAATTTTTTTCTGTAACTAGTGTTCCTTTTTTTAGGATATGTTATCCTTCTTGTAGTTATAATATCCCATTTCTTTCAAATGTAAAGTTTATTCTTTTATAAAAACTGAATTTTTTTTCTCCTTTTTGGTGGACTATATCAGTCTTCTACACATCTTCTGTTCACCAATTACTGCTACTCTTATAATCTGATTAGAAGGATACAATTGTTTATTCTTGATGACAAATACTTTGATCTTTTAGAAATGCTGATGATTTTTATTTCTGCATAAGCTAGAGAACTTTCTTAATTCTAACTGTTATTTAAAGAAAACAACAATTTGATATGCTATAGCTATGTTCTTTAAATTAAGGGCAACTGTTTTGTTCAAACTCTTGCAAATAATAACATCTGAGATTTACTTGTAGTACCAATCATAATCAACTCTCTGTACATGCATAGTTCCTATGACATAGGAAAAAAGCCCTGGTTAAATCTATAGCTCTCAAGACAAGAAAAATGGAAGTGTAAATAATTGGTACATTTATCTAGTATACTGCCAATAAAAGGCTGATTTTCTGATTAACAATCAATGATAGAAGAAAAAACTTCTATTATTAGTAAAATCTTAACTATACCCTTACAGCCTTCATACCCCTTTTTTATATAGGATAAAAATCCTAATTAAGAAAAAAATCACATCCCTTAAAATAAATGTAATCCTAGCTATCTAAGGTGGCAAAAGAAGTGAACAATAACTAAAATATAAAATCACACTCTTACATGCTACAGTATCTTGAATAGTACTCATTCTACAATAGTGTGATTGTGTGAACAGTGTCCGTATCCCGTCTACAATAGTGAGTAGCATCCCAACAATTGATTGTGATTGACCCATGTTGTCATGCATCATCATAGTATTTGCACAAAGAGCCTTGTTGAAAAAGTGTAAAACAGGCTTTCACAAAATAATCTATTTTGAGTTTCCAAACAATGAAAGAGAATTTCTTCCCCATTTTGTTTGGGATGAAAGCTTTGTTATTATTCTTCTTCTCACTTAACTCATTTTTCCTTTTGCTGTTGTCTATGCGAATCCTATTTAATGACTTGACCACTAATTTTGTCAAATTCTTGAAATAAAAATCTCCTGTTTTTCCCCAGTCAAAAAGTCAGGGATTAGTCAAGATCTGCTGGATCGAGCCCAGGAATTGTGGGGATTGCTTCCTAGTTTTTGTCGTCATGCAATTGATACACACCAAAATTTTTCTAGTCTCTCTGATGTCCTTATTACTTTTCTTAAAAAGGACCCTTCTATGCATGAAAATGTTTCCACGGCATTACAGGTCACACTTTCTGAAACTGATGGAAGCCCTTGTGCTTCCGGTTGTTATATTTTGTATATTTTTCTCAATTACTTTCCTTGTAAATGTTCATGATTTTTGTGTAGATTCTTGTGAACGAGAACAAAGCTGCTCTTAATCCTAAAATGGGCGAGTCAAATTGCCATGCAGAACATGATTCTTCATTAGAGATCGGCATGCAACCTGCTTATTCAAAGAAAGCTGCCACTAGAAATATAAAGTCTTTGGCATCTTGTTCAAATCAGTTGCTTTGTATTTTATCAGATTTATTTATCAGTTCGCTTCCTCAAGCGCGCCTTTATTTAAAGGTTCTATAATTGTCACTTATTTAACTTATACTCCCATGTAGAATGATACCTTTCTTTTGTGTTCTTTTGTCCTGAAAATGCATGACTTATTTGTTTTGCTCAAATATTTGTATAGTACTCTACCTGGGCCATTAAGAATAATTTTGGAGAATTTTTAGGCTGAATAGTATGTTGTGGCTTGTAACATTGCTTTTAGCTTTCCTTGCCCTTAATATATTCGTTCCAAATTTGTCACATGCAGTTCTCAATTGCTCTCTGATTGTGTATTTGGACATTATTTCCTTGATATTAATGTTTTGACAGTATTAAGTAATTTGAAATGAGTTTTTTCTTTTCTGTTTCTTTTTCAGCGAGCAATTGGGTGCCTGGCTTCTATTACTGATTCGTCTGTTACCAAAGAGATTTTTGTGTCTCTGCTTAAGAGGTTTCAATTTATAGATTGTGAAGGCGAAGCTGAAATGTTGACAAGTCACAGCAGAGCGTTAGATAGTGATCCAAGTGACATGGAGGGATATTCTCAAAGGTGAAGTTAGTGATTAATTTATACAAAACAATTGTGTCAGTGGTTATAGCCCATTTGTTTGTGCTTTTTAATAGTAAAAAACACCTTTTTTAATTAATGATACATGTTTACAAAAATTATAATAACTAGATAAGTTTTCAAAACAAAGAAAAAACCTAAAAAAAAAGGCTGTTTTTTTTTCTCCGAGGCTAAAACCAGTAGCTTCTGATAAAAGTTCTAAGAAAGTGTTATGAACTGGTTTCAGTATGAATGTTAAAAGGATCTGAACACACTTTTTAGGCCCAGTAAACTGGGTTTTCTGATATTTCACTAAAAGACAGCACCAAGTGGAAGAGTACAGCGAAACAAATTACAATTGAAAAGACATATTACAGTAGATGAAGATCTACTACTCGAATTACAGAAATCTACTAGCAAATGCAAGATATAAAGACTGGTTCAGCACTTTCAAGATGTGCTGATCTCTCCCAATTCAAATCCCAAATCCAGCCTACTTCCCTTCACGTATCTTCTGCCGTTTAACCACATAGCTCCCTCCTACTGCCACTTCAGCATTTCTAACAGAATTGGAGTTTCCCTCCAACAACCCAACCTCTGGAATATTCCCTTTTTTAGCTGAGTCATCATCTCTAAATAATCCCCTGTGGGGTTTCCTATAATACACTTTTCAGGGGATTGTATCAAAAAGTTATATTGTAAAAGAACTATTTTTTAAAGCTTATTCAAACTCGCCCATAATGGCAGCCAGCAATTCACATATTTTATTGATCTAGCATTTCTTTATGTTTCTTAACTGAAGTTAGAAGGTGTTCATAATAAGCCCTCAGATTTTCTACTACTAGCTTTTCTAGTGTTTTTTCAGAATCACTTCGCTCATAGATTGTAGTCAGCATCTTTACAATTTTCTGACCACACAGGTTGATTACTCCCTGTGAAAGTGGTAAATTTGGAAATCAGAAACAGATAAATAGGAACAGAATTCAACAGTCACTTGTATTATCTTTCTCCAGAACAACATTCATCGAAACCTCCATACATACTGGTTTTCACAAATTAAAAAAATAAACTGGAAATTACAACTTCAATAAGAAAGGGAATAAACGAAAAATAAAGTTGCAGAAAGTAAGATAGTGTGAAGCCATTATGAGAGGCTCCACTCTCTCGCAAGTCCAAAGTCCAAACAGTAATCCAGATGAATCCCTCTTGCCATTCTTCCCCCTATTTAACTAACCTCCTTCCATGCATCATGGCATAACTGCCTTCCATTCTGTTATGGGGTATTGTTGGGAACAACATTATGCTGATGTAGTAGTCCTAAAGCAGCCATAGGGACCCAAACCTTCCTATCTCTATCGCTTTTATAAGTCTTCATGGGTCAGACTGTGTCAGAAAGCTACTCTGCAGTACCTGGATTGAGGAAGAAGATTATGCATAGACCATTCCATTAAGTTTAATTAACCAGAGAAGTATGCCATGCAGTAACGTATATAGCAAAATATTTGAGTGATTTGCTTCAAATACCAATCTAAAGACTCTGTCCTTCTCTGATTTTGGCTTTTTACTATTAAGAGATGTAATAAAACCATTTATGAGCTTACACTGAACATCTTAAATTTTTGGGAGTCGGTTTACAACATGACATCAGAACCTCTTTGGTCAAGTGGTTAGGAGTTCAATCCTTGTCGTCCCTAGTCTTTTAAATAAAAGTTGAATTTCAGCATATTGTAAAAATAGGCCAATGCATTGTCCACACTTCAAGTCCAGAAGTCTCTTGCATGATAGGGGTGTGTTAAGAGATATGAGAACCATTCATGCGCTTACACCATCAGCTTAACTTTTAGGGGTAGTTGGTTATGATTTTTATGACAATAGTTTTCTATAACTGGATAAAAATAATCAAGAGTTGTTCATTTGTTAATCTTGTTCTAAAGGCATCTTTCTTATTTATTGGTTGCATTAAATACGATTGAAATTTTATATCATCCTGAACAATAGTTTGGGCTCTCCCAATTTGATTGGAGAATCTGATAACATTTGCACTGAAAACTAATTCCTATATTTCACTTTCTTGTTATTATATATTTGTTGACAAGTCAAAGTCACTTTATTCTTCAGGTGCTTGATGTTGGAAATAGCATCTTGTCTTGTTGAAGGAGCCAAGGATAATCTTATTGAGATAATATATAATTTTACTATACACTCGTTTCAGGTATTTCTCATAGGTTGAGTAATACTTTTTGCTTTTTTGTTACTTCGATTCTTTCTTTATTCTTTGGACTAACCTATACAATTTTGAAAATAAAAATAAAAATTCATGTATGCTATGTATGTAGGCAACCAATGAGAATGTTCATCATGAAGCATACAATACTTTGAGCAAAATTTTGAAGGTCTGCATTTGCTTGAGATTTTTTTCTTTCATTTTCTCTCATTATCTATCTTAGTACTGATTCTGAATGATGCAGGAGCACCCATGCTTTTCTTCTTCTCGATATATGGAGCTAATTGATTTATTACTTGGTCTGAAATCTCCAACTGCAATTGCATCTCTTCGAAGCCGCTATGCTTGTTTTCACACTTTGATGGTACACACAATGAAGGTCAGAATTCGTAATTATGATAATGTCGCATTTGTTTTTTTGTTTTTGTTTTGGAGATATGTTTCATTTTTTATATTCAAGTCCTGTCAATCTCCATATGCGTTAGATATGAAGATGTGTAACATTCTCTTAGAAAGTTTTATTGTAACGCCCCGTTCATGACCAGTTTGTTATCATACATTATGGTATTAATCGCAACATATTTAAATACTTAAGTGGAAGACTTTATTATAACAGTCACAATTACATATAAGTGAATATGTGAATTAACTTTTTCCTTTCCTTATGTATTGCAATGTATCATTATTATTTTATTCTTGCTTATGTCATTGATATATTCCATTAAACATGTTACGTTTAACATACTTTAAGCTATGCTCAAGCCTAAGGTGTGATTCAACACTTTGAGACCTTCAATTATGGGGAAGGTAGTTACACTAATCTTCATAAGGTCCATTTACATTTACCAAGGCACCACAACTCATTGGAAGTGGGTTTACGCCTTTTAGAAGCCTTAGTAATCGATTACAGCAATAACAGTAACAGATCACTCACTGTCTCTGCGAGTAATCGATTACTCACCCTCAAGTAATCGATTACTACTCGACAAGTAATTGATTACTTTCAAGACAGTGGCTCAATTTTAGCTACTTCTTGGGAAGTATTCGATTACTCTCTGATTACTCCATGAGAGTAATCGATTACTCATTGGGCAGGGAACTATATAACCCCTGTTTTGACAAGGTTTGACATATGGAAACCCTCCATGGGTTCAATGTACACCTAATTGACATTCAACCATATATCGTATACAATTCTAGCCCTTTGAAGGCTTTAAAACCTAATCCATCCATGGATTTCTGTGATAGGAATGAACAATACTATTAGGGTAATACCTCAAGAAAAGTATATTAATGCAAATCAACAGTACAAGGTTACTGAACAATTACAATAACAGAGAAGAGTATTCCTATGAGACCTTACAATGACAGTAACGAAAAGGAAATTACAGTAAGCAACTAGATAATAAAGATGATAACTCTAGAGCTTTCGAGAGGCTCTAGTCTCTCCCAATTCCCATTCAATTCCAGATCCCAGATGATTCTCCCTTTCCCACGTGATCCCCTTATATCGCACCTTTCCTTACTCACCCACTAACTGTATTCTGTTTAGCAACCGGAACCATGCGTGAACCTCCTTCCTCTAATGACTTCCTTGTTGACTTAGCTTGCTCAATCTGGGCCTTGAACCTTCTACGTGAGTATACCTATTGAGTTGGGCCCAAAGGTTCCATGCCAATGTTTCACATCATACATTTATTAATTCATACAATTACATCTAATTGCCTTAAAATCCATTAATATCTCAATCATTCATACATGAACTCGTAACATGACATCTAAGTGGATTGTGCCATATATGTCATACATAAGTTCCATACACATATAGATCACAAATTACAATAACATCATCATAATTACAATTTGGCTTCCATAAATGTATAAGCCTAATCAAAAGAGTGCAAGCCATTTATCTTCTACAAAATAATGACAATTCATCATATATACTTAAAACATGATCATATACAGAAATATCATCCATCCTCCAGCATCTGAGCACCATTTATCTGCTTGAAATATCGTTCCCTAAATGGGGTGAGATTATAATCTCAATAAATCTAAGGTTTTTGGAGTATGACTCTACCCCTGAGTTTACTTTCTGCATGAAAGATTTATATGCATATGGCATGATATACAACATATAGCTAGAGGCAAAATAGCAATGATTGACATTGTACATCTAGTGCACTCAGATCACACATGAACCTAGTCCATTTGGTGTCTGTCTTGGATCACATATGAGCCTAGTCCATTTGGTGTTTGTTGGAATTCCAAGAGATACAAGGTGTACTCAGTACACTTAGATCACACATGAACCGAGTTCGTTTGGTGTCTGTCTCAGATCAAACATGAACCTAGTCCATTTGGTGTCTATATGAAAATTCCACCTATCATTCAATTGGCCAATGAACAAACAATCGAATCAAATCATCACAAAGCTTTAATTGCATATCAGTCCTTCCACTAATATTACAATCTAGACCCTAGTGCTTGTCTATTGATCCTTCCACCAATGAAACAACATTTTCTATATGAATGCATACATACCATATCACTCACAAACCACTCAATCATCCAATCAATAACTATTGCTTCCATAGAAGCATGGTGGAACAACATAATGGAGTAAAACTCCAAAACCAAGAGTTTACCTCTTTGAGCTTCCTCTCCTGCCAAGCTTGCTTCAAGCCCAAGCAATCTCCTTGAAATCCTTTCAAATGCTCAAAGTCACCTGTTCTAAGGATGACAATACAATCAACAACAAAATTCACATACAAACATCAGTCAATACTTGAACATCATCAACTGCATGATTAGTAGCTATCAATCCACCAAGGATTCAATTTCATGAACATACCTTCTTCTTGAATATTCAAGAATCTAAGTCTCCTTCAATAATTTTCTCCAATGCTTGATCCAACATCAAGTCATCACTTGATCTCAAGCTACACAATCCAACAATCCACCATCAAATGGCTATTCCAATTTCCAAGCCTTAAAAACACAAGAGTTCAACACTTCATGACTCACATTTCTGACATAACACAAAGGTGATTAAAATGGTTGTTTCAACACTTTTTCACCATTAATCTTATCTTCTTAACATCTTTTACAAATTTTACAAAGGATACACATTCCATTTCAAGTCCAAAACACCCCTATATTCATACTTTTCTCAAGAAAACCTAGGTATTCAAATCTTAATGAAACTTAATGATTGTTGAGTTTTCTTACGATAGATCTCCTTAGATTGATCCTACTAATGCTTTCCAAGTTTGAACAAGATCAAAACACTTCCCCTAGCCCCTTGAACACCAAAATGTTGCCACTTTCAAGAGAGGATATCTTCTCACTCAATGATTTTTAACAATGTTTCTTTGGTGGGATTTGATCACAATGAGGAGCTAATCAACTTTGATGAACAAACTTAAGAGATTTAATGACTAGAACTCAACTTGCCTAATCAAGCTTCGTAGAAATTGTCACGGTTTAGGGGAAGAGAACCACGAAGTAGAAGAGTGTTTAATGACTAAACACTAAGTGTTTTTAAGTCTTAAACTTAGTTTGACTAAATGTCAACATTTTCAACATAGTAATTTACCATTTTACCCCACTTAATCTTCCACTAATCCATGTTTTGATCATCTAATCATGATTCTAACATTCACCAATCAGAGAAAATGATAGAAAGTGAAAGTGAGAGAGAGAAAGGAAGAGAAAGAGAGAAAGATCTGAATGTGAACGTGTATTTTCTATTCTGATTAAAGGTGGGTACATGCAATGTGTTGTCCTGTATATAAAGCTATTACACAACGGTATATATGTTGTAACAAACTAGAGACACGTATCCTGTACACCAAAGCTACAGTAAGCTCACTTAGGACTATATTACTACAGTCAGGGCCCATAAGGCCCATTACAATATGTACATACATAGAGCCCACTACAACAACTACTGAGCTACTAAAATAAACTCCATATATGCTAATAGCCCCCCTCAAACTCAGGGGTGGTGGAGAAACAGATGTGTGTCCACAACCGTGAGTTTGTCTCTCAAAGAAGCAAAACGAGATGCTGATAAACTCTTGGTAAGGGTGTCAGCTATCTGATCCAGAGCTGGAACATGGAAGACAACAACGTCTTTAGCAAGAACTCGTTCACGAACAAAGAAAATGTCCAATTCCATATGTTTGGTTCTTGCATGTAGGACTGGATTGTGTGATAAAGCTACAGTGCTCATATTATCACAATATATGTGTGGAGTGTAAAATTGAATATTCAGTTCTTGAAGTAAAGATTTGAGCCAGAGGACTTCAGCAGTGGCAAGAGCAAGGCTGCGGTATTCTGCTTCTGTGCTTGATCAAGCAACAAGGTGTTGCTTTTTGGACCACCAAGATATTAAATTGGAACCAAAGAATACACAAGCTCCCGAAGTTGAACGACGATCATCAGGGTCACTAGCCCAATCTGCATCACAAAATGCAGTAACTGAGAACAGCTGGCTGGGATTAGATGGTTTAAGAACCATTCCATGATACAAGGTGCCTCTTAGATAACGAAGAATGCGTTTGACAGCAGACCAATGCTCTTCAAGAGGTTGGCTCATAAATTGACAAGCCTTGTTAACAGCATAACTTATTTTTGGTCTAGTGAGAGTAGCATATTGCAGAGCCCCAACAATTGATCGATAGAAAGGGATCTGAGAAGTAATTGGAGCCATGCTTAGAGAGTTTACACCCTGAAGGAAGAGGAGTGGAGATGCCTTTTGCTTCAGCCATCTTAGCCTTGTGACGCAGATCACGAATGTATTTGGATTGGGAAAGCAACAAGGCACCTGAAGAAGCTTTCTTCACTTCTATGCCAAGAAAGTAATCTAAATCTCCAAGATCTTTAAGTGAAAAATAAGAGTGCAGCTGCTGGATAAGAGACTGAATAAACAGAGAATCACCACCACTGATGATAATATCATCCACATAAATCAGTAAAAACACACACTGAGACTGTCCTCTGTAAATGAACAAAGAGGGGTCACATTTGCTTGCTAAAAAACCCAGCTGCAGTAAGGCCCCTCTTAGTCTGTCAAACCAAGCTCTTGGAGCCTGTTTTAAGCCATAAAGAGCTTTATGTAACCTGCATACAAGAGATTTGTCAGAAGATTCAAAGCCTGGAGGTTGTTTCATGTACACTTCTTCCTCAAGAATGCCATTTAGGAAGGCATTATTTACATCTAATTGCTTAATGGGCCAGCCAAAAGAGATAGCAATAGTGAGAATGGTTCGAATAGTAATTGGTTTAACAACCGGGGAGAAGGTTTCATTATAATCAAAACCTTCTTGTTGATGAAACCCTTTTGCCACCAACCTAGCTTTGTATTTGTTG